TTCGATCTTCGATGCATTTCCATTCTTTATTGGATAACTTATGTGATGAATTGGTATACCCGAATAAGTGAATGGTAAAGAACCCAATTCACACCCGAACAATTGTCTATATGTGTCTTGTTCGTCTTTGGCCTGCCCAAAACAGAACAACTCACTTTTGTGAAAGTTTATCTTTAAACCAGACAATTATTCGAAAATACATAGAATAAGTTTCATATTACGCATCTTAGCAATGTCATGTTCCATGAATAGGATAGTGTCGTCAGCATATTGTAAGATGGATACTCCTCCATCAACCAGATGAGGGACTAACCCCTCCACTTGGCCATGCTGCTTGGCCCTACCAATAAGAATGGCTAACATATCGGCCACTATATTAAACAAGAGAGGATACATGGAATCTCCTTGTCTCAAACCCTTGTGTGTCTGAAAATAATGACCGATATCATCATTAACCTTGATTCCGCCAGACCTCACTAAAACCCTTCTGGACTTGAGAACCCACTTGGTTCCGCCAGACCTCACTAAAACCCTTCATGCGCATTGCCTATTGTAAGAAAGGCCACTTAACTTCATCATACGCCTTCTCAAAATCCACTTTGAAGATAACCCCATCTAGCTTCTTCGAATGAATTTCATGTAGCGTTTCATGCAAAACGACCACCCCCTCAAGTATATGTCGTCCTTGCATGAACGCTATTTGGCTCGGTTGTACCACTGAATGGGCGATCTGTGTCAGTCTATTAGTACCCACTTTTGTGAAGATATTGAAACTCACATTGAGAAGACAGATTGGCTTGAATTGTTCAATTCGAACTGCCTCTTCTTTCTTTGGCAATAGCGTAATCATGCCAAAGTTAAGATGAAACAGCTCTAAATGACCGCTAAAGAAATCATGAAACATAGGCATAAGATCACCCTTAATAATATGCCAATATTTCTTGTAGAAATCAGCTGAAAACCCATCTAGTCCCGGTGCTTTATTCGATTTCATTTGTAAGATTGCATCTAGAACCTCTTTCTCAGTAAACGGTGTAGCCAAAATATCGCTCTCTTCTACCTGTAGCTGCGGAATATCACCAATTACAGACTCGTCTAGGGACGCCGTACTTGCTTCCGGATGTCCAAAGAGTTGTTTATAATAATTAGAGATATATGCCTTTAGGTTCTCATGCCCTATTGTCCCCTTGTCCTGTGCCAGTTGAATAATTTTCTTCTTCCTATGTTTGCCATTCGCAATCATATGGAAAAATTGTGTATTGTCATCCCATTGGACAACCTTAAGCACTTTGGTGCGCAATGCCCATTTGAGCTCCTCTTATCTAAGAGCATCTCCAGCTGTTGGGCCCCAGGAGGCGCTAAAAATCGCCCCCTGGGGGCGCACCGGCGCAAACCGCGTGCTGGGGGCGTAATGTTCCCCAGTCGCGGCGCCCATGATTTTTTTGAAAACTAAGATCCGGCACAAACAAGCCGCAAATTCAACCAAACTTCGACGAGTTCATACATATTTAAAATATTTTACAAAAGAAGAAAAAAAAACGCTACTAGGCCTACTGTCGCCCTCGCCGTTCCTCGCCGCCCGCCGCCCTTGAAGCTCTACATGCCGAGGAGCCTGTAGAACTGCGTGTAGTCACCGCCGCCATCGTCGTCGTCGCCTCCTCCGCTGTGATAGCCTAGCTTAATACGGATGATAGACTACTCATATCAATAAGGAATTCCTTCTTTTCCGGAAGCCCATTCGAACAGAACTCCAAAGTTAAGTGTGCTCAGCTTGGAGTAATTTCAGGATGGGTGACTGGTCGGGAAATTACTCCCGGGTGCGCACGAGTGAGGAAAAAGTGTGCAGAAAAGACTAGTATTGATCTATGGGGCCAGTCTAGATCCTGCTAGGAGTAACAAACACCGGCGGGTGTGTCCGGGGCGTTACAAGTTGGTATCAGAGCCAACCCTCGTGGTTACACGGATGTTTGCGGACAGGTGCGCGGTCATGTTGTGCATGACGTTCGTGACCCGTCGTGGCACACGGCATGGCACATGTGCCGGACTGGAAGCACAAACGTATGTGCCAAGAGGGAATGTTCATGTGGCCCGACGAGGACGTCGGTTCCTCTGAGTGGGGGTGTATGTGATAGCCTGGCTTAATACGGATGATAGACTACTCATATCAATAAGGAATTCCTTCTTTTCCGGAAGCCCATTCAGACAGAACTCCAAAGTTAAGCGTGCTCAGCTTCGAGTAATTTCAGGATGGGTGACCGGTCGGGAAGTTGCTCCCGGGTGCACACGAGTGAGAACAAAGTGTGTAGAAAAGACTAGTATTGATCTGTGGGGCCAGTCTAGAACCCGCCAGGAGTAACGACCACCGGCGGGTGTGTCCGGGGCGTTACATCCGTGGCCGCCGTCCCTGCTGCACCCCTTCCCTGGTGGGCGCGGCCGGTTGGACGGTCCGGGGGCATCCTCGTCATCGTCGCTATCGAGGACCACCACGCCGTTCTCGTCCTCGCGCCCACGCTTGCGGGCGGCTATCTCCTCCAGGGCTCTGCGCTGCCGGACCACTTCATCGCGGAGGTAGTCGTCCCGCGCCCACTTTAGGGCGGCCTTGTCGGAGAAGCCGCGCCGAGCAATGGCCTCGTACTCCGTGGGGAGGCCGGGCTCCACATTCGGCCTAACGAGGACGAGGCGACCAGAGGTGGGGGAGGAGTCGGCGATGCGGACGCCGGAGCTGCGGGTGCGTTGGCTGACCGGCGTGTCCCGGGGCTCCGTCTTGACGGGGCGGAGGCAGGGAGAGCCGGACGAGCGGCCGGACGAGGAGGAGGACGCCCCCGGATCCATGCGCCTCGGCGTCCACGAGCTCCCACGCCGGCGGGAGAAGGACGGGGGAGCGGGGTACTCCAGCCTGGGCATGTTGCCGCCCTCGATATACTCAAGGATGGCCTCCAGCGTGCGGTCGGGCACGCCCCACCATCGGCGGCGGCCTTCGGAGTTGAGCCTTCTGGAGGGCACGACGTCGTTGGTGGCCTCGAGCTGCTCGGCGTGGCGGCGACGGAAGTAGGACTCCCACAGCGGGCTGTCGTGGACGTACCTCGGACCTTCCCTCGCCGCCTGCGGCAGATTGATGCGGATACGCGCGATCTCCGCACGCCGCGCCGCCCCGGTGGGCGGCGCTAGCACCGGGACCCCACCGGCGCTGATCCTCCACACCCCGGGCCGCACCGGATACTCGGCCTCAAAGAGGAGCCGAGTTTCGTCCTCGTGAAAGTGGCGGCGGCCGAAGCCATTCGCCGCCGCGCCATCGCCTGGGAAGCGCTTGGCCATGGTTGAACTGGAAACGGCGAGAAGAGAGGGAGGAACGGGGGGTGTCGAGGAACAAGGGCGTCGGCGATGGAGAGCATGTGAGTCACCGGCGCGCTGGGGGCGGCTTATATAGGCGGAGGCGCCGCGCGTACGCGTGGCGGGCGAGGGACGCGCGTCGTCCCGCCTTCACTGCGCCGCCCGTGAGGCATCAATGGAGTAGGCTGACCGGCGCGGCAGCGCGCGGCAGCTTTGGCATTGATTCCGCCGCGGGAACCGAGGCGATGAGGACAACGAAGCGGCGAGAAGAGCCGAGTCACTGCCAAGGAGGGCCCGCCGATTTTCGCGCCAAAAACATTTCGGCCGGCGCCCCCAAACGCCCCCAGCGCGCCGGGTTCGGCCTGGGTCCGCCAATGTCAATTTCGGCTCGAGCCAGCGAAAAAAGGGGCTTTGGGGTGCGACTAGGCTGATTTTTCGGCGCCGGCGACCGAAAAATCACCTGGGAGGCCTTGTTGGGGGCGCGGCTAAAGATGCTTTAAGAAGCGCTCGAAGGCTTAGCTCAGCTTCGGTCTTAGAACTTTGCTCATTCACCGTAAGCAAGGTACTTTTTGCTTTTAAATCTAAAGCTTCAATTAAACTAGTAAATCTTTCTTTTTCTTATTTGTAAATCACACTTTCGTTTCTGGCTCAACCTCGCAAAAACTGTTTTAAATGACGTATCTTATTTTGCCATCTCTCAAGACTAGTATTTTCCCTAACCGGAATGGCCCATTCACGTGACTAGTATTTTCCCTAACCGGAATGGCCCATTCACGTGCGATGATAGTCGCCTCGCCCGAGTCTACAAGCAATGGTGTATGATCTGAGATCGCTCTTTGCATCGCATGAACCGACACCAAAGGATATTATTGTTCCCATTCCACACTAGCAGTACCCTATCCAACTTCTCATACGTTGGAATGTGCAACGAGTTGTCCTAAGTAAACTGTCTATCGGTGAGTTCAATTTCGATAATCATATTAAACATCATAGCCCACCGACTATCAAAATAGTCATTGTTCTTTTCATCTCTCCTTCGAATTATCACCACTGACAAGGATCGGTAGAGTCTCATCTCCACGAATCCGCATCAAGTCGGCTAAGAAATCTGGTTTAAGTTCAGGTTGTGCTACACCATACACCGCTACAAGAGACCATCGAAACCCATCCAATTTTGATCTCACCCGAAACTTAACCGCAAAATCACCCCAAACCAGTTAAGGACACCAAACTACTGAAGCAGTCGAAGAAGAAAACAACCAACGATTGAAGCATAAAGAACTTTGGATCGTCCCTTTGCAACCATATCGATCATTAGCAGGCATGAACAAATTCAGAAAGATGCACAGGTAGGTAGAGAGAAGGCAAATTATTCAAGCATGCACGTAGCAAGGCATGTCGCAGCAAACAGGCGGTTGTCCATATGGTCGCGTCAATCGCTACAAAACCACACAAAAGCGATCGAGTCCATGCATAAATGATAGGTAGGTAGGTATAAGTAGTGATGATAAACAAAATAAGCATGCGGCCTCCTTCCAGCTCGCATGCGGCACACAAACGCTAACTTAACTAGCTTCGGTCGTCGGTAACCTAGTGCTTCAGCATATGGCACTCGGTCGCCGCCATTGGCACCGACCAAGGTCACCAGTAAGAGACGAGGCCTGGCCAAGCTAGCCGAACCTGTAGAGCCCGCTGTCGTTGACGAAGTGGCCGTCCATGTAGAAGGCGGCGTTAGGGGGATGGTACGCGTCCATCATCACGAACTGCATCTCGTCCGACGGCTTCCAGTGGCGCTTCCTCTGGTTGATGAACCAGTTGTTGATCTGCTTCAGGTCCAGGCCCGTCGACTCGGCCAGCGCCACCTTCTGGCTCTCCTGTAGGACAATGCAAGTCGTCAAGTTTATATCGAGAAGAGAAGTTCTAGAAATGTTCAGTATCAATACTGGAAGTGTGAGACTACACATATTTCGAAACTTGGAAGATTTGTATACCGAGGGATAAGGCCACTTGTAGTGCATCTCCCACCAGCTGAGGAGCTGCTGGCGAGCATCCTTCGGGAGCTTCCCTTTCTTCTTCTTCTTTGACAGCTCTTGCTTCAGGGAGCTCAGGTACCCACTGTACTTCTTCAGGAGATGGTGCTTCAGCTCCTGGTCCACGCCGTGGGCATCAATCTCAGGAAGCTCTGTCTCTCCTCCGCTGCCTTCTTGATCTTCCTCGGAAGAGCCTTAATTTACACATATCAAATGAAATTTGTTAGTAAAGTAAGAAACAAGGTATGAACTCGCTTTTACATAGCGAGAATAATGTTCGTTCATCGCAAAAAAGAGATCAATGTAGATTGTAGACACATCCAGCTTATGTCTTGACAAATACTACCTCCATTTCTTTCGCAAAAAAATAAATACTACCTCTATTCATAATGTTTTGGATATTTTAATATGCACTACATACAGACTGAAATGGGTGAACAAACACACTAAAACGTGCCTATATACATCCAATTAACGAAAAGTTAGAACATCTTATATTCGTGAATGGAGGGTGTACGTAACAAGGGATGAAACCAGATTGTTAGTTGCTCATGGTAGTAGACAGGAAAAACAATTAATTAGGATCAATAAATAAAACAAATAGCAGTTTCGAACAAAAAGAGAGAATGTCTTCACGATTTAGTGAAGAAACATCAACTAGTCACTCCACCTGTGAGAAGTGAAATAACAAGGAACTTTATCTTGCATGAATTCAGTAATGGGCAATTAGCAAGTTACATATTTATCGTACGTAATCCATTTATTTACTTAACAATTTTATGCTTATAAGTGTATATGTGGATTGCCTAGCCCTTTCTAGCAGTTCGGACTTTTGGTTGCGTTGGCTAATGCATGAAGCTTAACAGTATGAAGATGAGATAATCATGTGTTCATAACCCCGGTATATAAGTTGGTAATATGCTTGTGAATTATATGTATCTATTTGCTAGCTGCATTCTCGTAAAAAAAAGTTTAAGATGTGGTGTGGATTGATCCCCAAGTATATGGATTTTCATTTTAACAAATGATGGCAAGTCATATACGTTCAGTAAAGAGAGTTACTCCCTCCGTAAGTGATCTAAACACTCTTATATTTCTTTACGGAGGGAGTAGAAGAGAGAAGCATTACATATAAAGCTGGTTTTTGTGTGACACCTTATACATGATTGGGAACCCTACCCTCCTCTCTTAACCCCTACCCTGCAATGGAAACCCTAATGACTGTGTAAGCAGTTTAATGGAAAATGCTCAGGTGTGCGTAAAGCCCCGTAAGCTTTTCCAAATAAACCTAGTTCCTTTATAAAGCGTTCAAAATGCCATTCAAAAGGGTTAAGCGGTACAATTTTCTTTTTGAGAAAGCTGTACACCATTTTGGAGCTATGTATTAGTAAGTAAAGATAAAATGGAACAAGTCCATTTAACCTTTTTTT